TGAACCAAGCTGTAATTATGTGTCAGCTGGATGCCTTAACCACTCTCTCTAACTTATCATCAAAAAAGAACTATTTTCACATCCAATTATAGGCGGACTGATTGCAAAGTGTCGAAAACTCTGTTCTTACGCATCCCATTCTACTGCTTTCTACACCAAACTTTACAGACAGCAAGAAATCAAAACAGGTAAAAAGTCAGACTTGGCTTAAAAAATGATGTTGCTACAAGATGGAGCTCTACCTATTATATGCTTGAGCGAACTTTACACCTGAAGCCAGCCATTGCTGCCATCTTCATCAAATTTCCTTCAGTGGGAATTTAATTTTCTGTCCAAAATTGGAAAAAATTGGTGAACATTTTAAAAGTTTTTGAGGAGGCAACAAAAATTTTGTCAGGTGTTGACTCTTGCATCAGTTCCTGTATTCCAATTGTGACAACAATAACAAAAGCTTTGGAAACAACGTCCACCGATATCAGTGTTTAGGAGTTGAAAATTGCTATAAAAAATGCAATGGAAAAACGTTTCAGCAATTGAAAAAAGAGAACATTATTCAGCTGAGTAATGAAAAACACACAGTGCTAAATCAATATGAGGACTTTTTTTTAAATTTAAAAAAATTCAAAACTTATTTTAATAATGGCTTGAGCTCCTTCAGTGTTGAAATAGTTTTTTATAATTCTATATATGATTAATATTATAGTGCAATATTGCGAATATAGGATATTATAACATAATATTTTTACACAAAAAAAAAAAAAAAATAATTTAAAAAAAATCTTTTTATAAAAAAAAACCTTTCCTCAATTGGACTAAAAAAGGAGAAAATAATTTTTTTTTTTAGATTTGACCCATATGAGCTTAATTTTATAAAACTATTCTTTGGAAATTCTACAATTTTTTCATCTTTTAAATTTATAAAAACGCAAGACCACTGAAAAGGTTACACGTTAGCTGTCTAGCAGAAGCATTTAGTTTGACTAAAAATCGGAATTATAGACACCTGTTTTTCGCGATTCAGACTTCAGATTCAAAAAACACGTTTCCCGGACAGTTTTACTCGAGTTTAGCACGTGTTATTTGAGGTTTTAAAGTCTAATTTAAATGTCGCGTGCGGTTATCACTGGTTTCACATTCTTTACGGAAATATAGGAAAACGATATAATACTACGTTTACGTGACGGTGAAACCAATAATATTTCAACTGGTATTTCGAATAAATAATAGTATTTAATTTCACGGAATGAAAATCATTCTCGGCACGTGTTATTCTTATTGTTTAAATAGGTTTTAAACACGCTACAGAAATCAAACGTAATTTTTTTCTGAGTTTTTTGTTGATTGAAAAAATTGACAATTTGTCAATATTTTTTTAATTTGCTTTATTAATTAACTACATCTGTCTAACAACATCTGTAAATACACCGATGTGTAATAAAACACCTGTCCACCAACATCTGAAATTTCATTGATGTATAATAACATCTGCGTTAAAAGTATATGATTACTACAGATTTAGTTCCATATTTTCAATTATCTAAGTATAATAACATTTGTGTAACTACATCAGGAGAATTTACAGGTATAATTATATCTTTTCAATCATTTTAAGAATAACTACATCAGTACAACTACATCTGTAAATTCTACATGTGTTGTTACATCTTTTAAATTAAATCGTAGCTATTTTTAATTATTAAAAATTACAGGATTTTATAAAACTACTATATTCATAATGCGTTATTTTAACTAAATTCATAATGCGTTATTTTAACGTTATTTTAACATTTTAACATATATGTTTTTTTTTTTTTTTTTTTGATGTAGTTATATCTGGAAAAAATTATTGAATAATAATGCATCATTTCAACAGATGTATTCCATATATGTTTTTTTTCAGATGTAGTTACATCTGGAAAAAAAAAATAATTATAAAAACATTATTATTTTAACCAGATGTAATTACATATAAGATTTTTTTCAGATGTAGTTACATCTGGAAGAAATTTTTCCAGATGTTATTGGACATGGTGAAAAATTACCAGATATAGTTATATCTTCCTAATGATGTTGTTGGGGGTCATTGAATTTCCAGATGATAGTGGACAGATGTTGTTGGAGTAAAAAAAAATACAGATGATCTTGGAAAAAATTGTACAGATGATCTTGGACTATTGTACAGATGTTGTTTGACAGTAGTTTTACCGTTAAACATATCAAGTCTCTATTAGTATGTTTAATGAAACAGTTGAATTAATTAAATCTAGAAAAAAAGGAGAAAGAAAAATTAATATATTTTTTCTCGTAACCCAAGTGATCTAGCAGCTTATGGATCGTATTTATACAAAATGTTAGACGAATCATGTTATGAAAAAAAAAAATTCAGGTCTTTACGATAAAAGGAAGGTGCTCAAATAAACCTAAAAATATTTTTGTTGATGTAATCCGGGCATACTTACAATGCAGTGAAATAAGAAAAGTTGCCAAAAAATAGTAGTGATCTGAGAATAGGACCTTGCGAAAATTATTCATTTTGAAATTCATTACGAAAAGTACTTTTAACTTAAAAGGCTCAATGTAAATAATATAAAATCAAAAGATAGCTAAAAAGATTGCAATTGGAATTAAAATACACCAAGCGCTAATATTGAGTAGTCAATATTTGCCCAGCCAGAATAACTCTGTTTTTCTGTTGCGCCTTTAAAACCTTCTAAAACAATAATAATAGCACATGCAAAGAATTTCACTCCGTGAAATTAATAATTTCTATTTACACCAGTTAAAGTATTAAGGCTCTTTACGGAAACGTAGTAATATTTTATACCAATTTTCCGCAAAGAATGTAAAATCAGTGATAAAAGCACGTGATAAAAGCACGTGAATTTAACTAAAATTTGACTTTAAAACCTCAAAATAAAACTTGTTAAACTCGAGTAAAACTCCCGTGAATAAACGTGTTTTTGGTTAACGCCTGTATAATGATATATTCAGTGCCGTAACTATAAATTTGCCACCCCCTCCCCGCCAAAAATAAATAAAGGGGTCCTCCTAAATTTTTTCTCGTTTTTAACAGTTTACAAATTTTTAGACGTCAACTAAAAGTTTTTTCAACGTTTAGAAATTCTAAACGTTAGAAATTAGAATGTAACTTTTTAAAAAAAACCCCGTTGGGATACGTGAAAAATTATAAATTCATAAAATGTATTTGATAAAACAGAAATTAGTAACACTCATATTATTATTACCAGTCAAATTATTCATATGAGTAAAATTTGTAAATTTCCGCGGGGTATTCTAAGCTCCGGCCCCCCCCCCCGCCTTGCTGGGTTATGCTCCCCCTACTTACGCCGCGGATATATTATATAACTAGATGTCTAACTTGCGGGATTTTATTGGACAAAAAGTGAAGCCGCTTTTTTTGTTTATAGCTATAGTCCGCTATTTGTAAAAAAGGCAAAAGCTGAAGCCGGTGTGGAATAAAAGTTAAAAATGCAAGTCAAAAGTTCCCAATAAATTAAAGATAATTCAAAAACAAATTTTAATAATTATAAAATACTTATAAAAGTTTTTTTTACAAGCCTATGTTTATTAAAAAGTAATTTAATTCAAAAAAATGCTTCAAAAGCGTCTGTCGTTTTACTTTTCTATTCAAAACTTTAAATCTCTTTTTAATCGAAATTAAATTAAGGAATCATAAATTATTATTTTACAAGTACAAGAATTTACAAATTTATTCCACTATTTGTAAAAAGGGCAAAAAGCCGCTTCACTTTTTGGATCGAAGTTAGACATCTAGTTATATAATATAAAATTGCGCCTGGATCGTGACAAACTCGTGTCTATACAGGTTTTAATTCCGAAAGTGAAACTAGATGTGCCGGCTGGGAAGTGCTGTGATTAATGGCCATGAAACTTTGTCAACTAAATCAAAAGAGCACGCTAAACAAAAAGAAAGAAAAAAAAGTCAGGTGTGGTAATGCGCATGATAATATTGCATTGCTGTTTGGCCAAAAACTCTTTTCATTACCCAGCTGCACATCTAGGAATTAAAACGATCTAGGCGTAAACCAAAAACAAGTTTATTTTCCAGGCAGTTTTATTCGAGTGTTTTTTGAGGTTTTAAAGTCAAATTAAAATCATGAAAATTATTAAATTGTTGTTAAAATTAAAATGATTAAAATGTTGCATTATTTTATTACTGGTTTCACATTCTTCACGGAAATTTATTAAAATATAAAAATATACTGTTTCCGTTGCAAATTAAAATTCGGACACCTTTACAACGCAGTGAAATAAGAAAAAATGTGAAAAAAATTAAAAAAAAATAGCATTGCACAATGAATGCACGCTTCCAAAACATGGAGTTTTAAGTTCGGCCTAGAACTTTAAAACGCGAGGGGATATTTACCCTAAGCTCACATTTCAAATATTTTGCGTTTTGATGCCTATGGTGCGATCTAATCTTAATTTATAAACAAACACCTCGATTTTATACAGTTAATGATATATATCTTTCAACGCTTATTAAGCCCTTGTCATCTTACCATCATTAAAAAAAAAACAACTCAAAACTGCCTTCCAAAACACATGATTATTCAACAGATCAACAAAATTCTGGAACTTGAGCAGCTAACTTAGCAAAGTCCGTTCGGTCGAACCATTCTAAATCATTAGCGAAATACTTTGAATTTTTCTTTCAATTCATTGTTAATTTTTTTTTTTTTTTTTTTGACTGGTCAAATAATTTTATGTTATTTGTCAATATAATTGTTAACGATACAAACTATACATACTTCATAAAAAGTTAATTGTATATTGTAATTCTCCACAAAATTATTTTTTGATTATTTTTTTTTAATGAAAGTTGTTTAGTGAAAATGCTTTTAGAGTTGCAACGTTATATATATACAATGTTATATGATCTAATTTCGAATCAATATACTGAGCAAATAGAATTTTATTTTGCAATGAATAGGAATAAGATATTACGCATTAGAATATGACTTGCTTTTTTTATGAAATGTGAATGAACATTTTTGCTCTAACTTCTTTTTTTGAAATTTTTAAACAAAAATTAGGTTCACAAATTCAAGTTATGTCTGAGAGACCCTATGATATTGCGGTTTATGGAGCAAGTGGTTACACTGGAAAGTATGTTGCAGCCGAAGTTGTTAGAACGTGTCAGGGGAAAAAAATTGCTATTGCTGGTAGATCGAAGGCAAAATTGGAAAAAGTTTTTGATGTTATAGAAAAGGAATGTGGTAAGTTATAACTATTTACAAATGGTCATAATAGACCACTTTAGAACTTTAAAACTTTTTTCTCACTCTCAACAAGTGTCTTTAACTATTTTCTCAATAGTTCTCTCATTAAAAAAGTTTTTTCATAACTTCTATCAAATTGAAAAAGAAATCATAACCTTAACTTTATAAAATTCTTGAAAATTGCTAGAATATGCTAAAATGAGACTACTGAAATATTTTTCTATTCATCAGCAAGTCTTAACAGTTAAGTTTTCTGATTAGCTACTAAAGTCTGCAATAAATGGGCAAAATTTATGTAGCTTGTTGCAGTTTAGAACCCAAATATATCTAAAGTATGTTGTTAAATCGCTTAAAAATTTTAATTCTCAGCCATTTTTGAAATACTTGAAAATTTTTTCAAACACTGTTTTGATCCAAAATTAACCGCATATAAGACCATTAGATCCAACTATCTTAAAATGAAAACATAAATTAGTCATGTTCAAACAGAAAAAAACAACCCTTTTTTTTTTTAATTATTAACGTTTGGGTGCATTTTTAAAAGCTAGTGCTCCTCTAACCTGCCATCTGGTCAGTGTGAGGGGCACAACCAATTATAAGTCATTTCTTAACAAAAAGAAAGAAATGGTTGGTTTCCTCCTTCCTTATTCTGATCTTTATAGTGGGTAGGGGAACAAATAAAAGAGCAGTAACTATTTAGAGACCTTAATTATTGTATAAATGTGATACTTTAAACATAATTTACACAAAGGGACATTATATTTTAAAGTCAAAATTGATTGATATCTTTCAAAATAATATTAAACAGTTTTTAAAAGACTTCTATAATACATAAGGAGTATTAAAGAAATCTACAATGAAATGAATAGAGATTTTTTAAAGAAAAAAGTCAAAACATGTTACAAACAGCTATATTTAGGTTTGGTTTCAACTTTCTAAATAGTAATTAGTTGATAATTAAAAACATTAATATATGATTTTTCATTTAATATTTTTTTTAATAAGATAGAAGTAAAACCCTCATATTTTTTTGAGTTCAGGCTCATGTATTGTGGCAATAACGTCACTCACTATATGCCAATGCATATCTGGTGTTTTTGTATACTTGAAATAATTAAAAAATAAATTTAAATCTGAAGACATAATTTTAAACATGTATTTAATAAGATTTTGTTTTAATAAATTATTTTCTATATAATGAAATAATGGGTATTCTAAACTGGCAGATATTCTTCTTTATATTTGATTTATATTGATTTGATTAGTATAAATTATAAATAAAGACCGACTCAGTTTTGTGAAGCAGGTTGTCAGATATAACAAAATAAAATTAATTTTCTAGGGATATGCTTAATAATATTTTGCATCCCTCCTAATTAGAAAAAAATAAGGTCAGTACAATTTGGCAGAAAAAATATAAAAAGATTTGACCGTAAAGCATAGAAATAAGGTCAGTGATTTTTTGCTGATCTCAACACTTCTAGGTCAACAATTAGGTTGGCCTTGCCAGATGTTGACCCTAATTCTGAGGGTTGCTTTTTAGAGTGAGTTCATATAAGTTGCTTGTTTTTCATCTTGAAACTCATAAGGGCTTTTAACTATTGTTTTTAAGAATCAACTATTAGTCTTTAACCATTGTTTATATATATACATATATAATATATATATTATATATATATATATATTATATATGTATATATATTATATATATATTATATGTATATATATATATATTATATATATATATGTATATTATATATATATATATATATATATATATATATGTATATATATATATATATATATATATATAATATATATATATATATATATATATATCAGGGTTGGAAAAAACGCAGGGTTTTTTAAAAAAACCCAACCCAAATGGGTTTTTTTGGGTTTTATTGGGTTTTATGGGTTTTTTGGGTTTTTTTAAAAATCGATCAAAATACCAAATTTTTATAATTGTATGAGTACAATAATTTTTTTTTTTAATTTCATAAATTCGCCTCCCTATTGCTCCAATGACCATTGGAGCAATAGGGAGGTGATCTGTGGAGAAATAGATTGAGACAGTAATTTCAGCAGAAGTAATTTGAACCCCAACCTTCTGGTTGCGAGCCAAATGTTTTACTACTAGCCTACTAGCACATTTTACCTATAGTGCAAAAAGGGACTCCATCAACTATAAATGATGTTAATTAATTGCTCTAAATTAAAAACATGTTCAGAACATCTTTGACCAAAAAAAAATCAGTGTAAAAATTATGACAATTGAGTTATTCAAAGTTGGTAAAACAATATAAATGTTGCAAACTAGTTTTTTTTACTAACATGTTCAAAAACTACTTTGCACAAGTTTACAACATGGAATCAACAAGTTTGCAACATGATGTTGCAACCTTATAAGTTATTATCAATCAGGATGACTATGAACACTTTTGAAACATTTTTGTATCATAGAAGAAAACTGCTAGCCTAATCACTACATTTTTTTTATCAGAACATTACACTGTCTAGCTTCTTGGAAAAGTTATCGGCCTGATCAACTGGACTGGCAAAAAATGGATTTTTGCCTAAACTTTGTTTCTAAATATATGTAAAGTAAATATGTTAAGAACCATTACAGTGTCTTTGCCACCAATTTTTTTTTTCCTTGAAGATGTTTTACCGGCTCAGTTTTGCAATGCAAATTGCAAACTGAATCAAAGTAACACATTATATAGCTCTATTGTGTGTGTTTCTTCACCTTTTAGCAACTTGATACTGATGTTAATTTTCAACCCGCTGTTCATAGTCACCCCTGTTGGTGGTACATGTTGTAAACTTGTAGCTGATGCAAAATATTCAAAACCTGTTAAATATTCAAAAGACAGATGAGCACGAGTGTCATTTTTACCAACAAATCTTGTCTTTGTGAAATGCATACAAGTTTTCAACATGTTCTCTCATTGAATGAGCAAACATGTTGCAAGCTTGCTTGCACATAACTTAATTTTTTTCAAGTTTTAAAGTTGTATGCACTGAAGGACAAATCTAGTAAACTGTAGCATTTTTTTTTTGCCTGACAACTTTCCATTTCTAAACTGTTAATAAAGTTTAATTTTTATATATAGTATTTTGCTTGTGGCTTTGTATTTTTTTTTTTTTTTTTTTTTGCAGTTTACAACATAAGCTTTAAAAAATAAAAAATCAAATACCAATATAAAAGAATACAGACATTCGAGAGGAGAATAAAGATACTAAATAACTAGTAATGTCTTGAAATTTAGTTAATAGAATGATTTTTATTTCCTTTATAAGTATTTAACTAATTTAATGTTTTAATACATATTTCAATAACATTTATAATAACTTGCTAAATGTTTTAAAAAATAATAAATAACCAACTTGCTAGAAAAACAGATTGATCGATTTTGGGTATATCCTAAAGACCATTATGTATATAAATACAGTGTTTACAAGAGTAATTACAGTATAAAGGTTGCACTTGCTGATAATAAAGCCTTTATAAGTGTTAAAATCAGAGTTATTAGTTGTAAAATAGGTCATTTTTAAAAAAACCCAAATATATTTTGGGTTTTTTTGGGTTTTATTGGGTTTTTTTAAGGTGGGTTTTTTTGGGTTTTTTTGGGTTGGGTTTTTTTGCCAACCCTGATATATATATATATATATATATATATATATATATATATATATATATATATATATATATATATATATATATATATATATATATATATATATATATATATTATATATGTATATATATTATATATGTATATATATTATATATATATATATTATATATATATATATATATATATATATATATATATATATATATATATATATATATATATATATATATATATATATATATATATATATATATATATATATATATATATATATATATATATATGGCATTATTTGATAAATAGTAAATGTATGCATAAATTTATAATATATAAAGTATTATAAATCCCAAATTTTGTCTTTGGAGAATTTTTTAGACTTTGCTGAGGCCTTCAACTCAGTAACACATCAGAGATTATGGTTATAATAATCAGTTAATGGTATAAAAGGCATATTATTGAAATGGATTGCAAAGTTTTTATATTTACATAAACAACAAGTTCTTATCAGTGATTTAATATCAATTTGAGTAGTGTTCGTCAAGTTGCCATGCCTGGGCTGATTTTATTTATCATTTTCATTAACTATTTGAATCTCAAATAATTCAAGATTTTGATTATTCAATTGAATCAAAAATTGAAGAATATTATTCAAAGATAGTAGCTGAAATAAATAGTTTAGTACACAATGTTTATCATTAAAAGGCAATATTAATATTTTTAAGTGGTTTAAAGACTGGTTAATCAACTTGAACATTAACAAATGCAAAGTTATGGGCATCTGCAAACAGAATTTAATGTACAATATAGTATACTTAAATTAGATGGCATACAACTAGTCTTAGATTCATCAAATTAAGAAAGAGGTTTATGAATTACATTAAGATCAGATTTGAAATATAAAATGTCAGTGTTAACAGGGTGGCCACAGCTTCTCCAAAATCCTCTAAAGTCCTTTTTTTAAAAAAACATCTTCTACAATCCTCTATTATCCTCTAAAAAGTTAAAAATATCAAATAAAAATCTCCTCTTTAACTCCTCTTTTTTTATTTACTTTTTTTTTCTTTACAGTAGTATAATGTTCAAAATTCATGGTCTACAAAATGCCTAATGTCTGAAATGAGAATTAGGTAGTAAAAAATCAATTTAAACAAATCCATGGGTCGTTCCGTGCCAAATGGTCTAAAATTTTAGGATTCCCACATGGACCCCCTCAGATTTTGATAAAACTTAGTGGGTTGGTTTATATCAATGAGAAAAGCAATTCCTGAAAATTTCAGCTTCAAATCTTATGTGGTTCATGAGATATGGCCATTTGAAATTTCTGATTTTTTCAAAAATAAAAACTTCAGGAGCAAA